CCTCTTCCTCTTCCTCTTCCTCCCCTCCTCTTCCTCCCCCTCTTCTTCCTCCTCCCCCTCCTCCTCCTCTTCCTCCTCTTCCCCCTCCTCCTCCCCCTTCCTCCTCCTCCTCTCTTCCTCTTCCTCTACCTCCTCCTCCCTTCCTCCTCCTCTTCCCCTCCTCTTCCCCCTCCTCTTCCTCCTCCTCCTCCTCCCCCTCCTCCTCTTCCTCCCCCTTTTCTTCCTCCTCCTCCTCCTCCTCTTCCCCTCCTTCCTCCTCCTCCACCTCCTTCCTCTTCCTCTTCCTCCCCTCCTCTTCTTCCTCCCCCTCCTCCTCCCCCTCTTCTTCCTACCCCTCCCCTCCTCTTCCTCCCCCCTCTTCTTCCTCCTCCCCCTCCTCCTCCTCTTCCTCCTCTTCCCCCTCCTCTTCCTCCTCCTCCTCCTCCCTCCCCTCCTCTTCCTCCCCCCCTCTTCTTCCTCTCCCCTCCTCCTCCTCTTCCTCCTCTTCCCCCTCCTCCTCCTCCCCCTCCTCCTCTTCCTCCCCCTCTTCTTCCTCCTCCTCCTCCTCCTCTTACCACAGTTGTTGATGTACATGTTGTGCAGTCGTATCTTGGACGCTCCGTTCCTGCAGTACAACATCTGTGTGTGGAGCGCGGCCTCTCCTCTCTGCTGCCACAGCTGGATCCAGCGGATATCACATCCGCACTCGAACACCACGCCATCCAGACGCCTGGAAAACACACAATGGAGAAGCAACTTAATCGACAAAGAAAAAAACCATAGCAATCAAACCACCAGAGATGAACACAAAAGCAATTATCCGTATCTGTTCATGTCCCAAAAATATCTGGGGCCGTATTGTTGTTGAATTATCTTTCAAAGCTTTAATAGCTCTTTAGCCTTATTGCATATCTAAATAAAAAGAGAGGTCGTCCATGCAGCGTTGGCAGAAGATCTAAATAAAAAGACGGTTGTTTGGAAGCATCTGTGGGAAAAATGGCAAGCTGTTGCACAAGAAAATGCTCTCTCGGCTGTTTTGCGTTCATCAGATATTCTCTACAGCGTCACGTGTCGAGCTGCTATGCCGAGGCTCAACATACAATCATGAGGTGAAAAATATCCTCAGATTGCTTTTTTTGTTCACATCCTTCCATTAATGTGAAGTCCTTTAAAGTAACACAAGAGACTTTTATCTCAAGAAAACAGACAGTGGCAGCAGTCACACTTGACCAACAAGCTGCTTCCAGGTCATGTCTTTAAAAACATAAATATGGCCATAGCAGTGACACAGTGGTATACAAATGGAGACAATAAGCCTTTTTAACAACAGCAACAAATATATCATTTTTTGCATGGCAGCTTGTCACGTTTGTGCAGAGGTGAACACGAGGAATTTAGATTGAGTTATCCTACAAAACACCTTCAGATAATCTGAACGTTTGGCTTGATCTGGATCACCGCTCCCTGCAGGTTAGCATCACCGTGCCTGTGCTTTGTGGTCACGCATAGATCCGGTTGATATGTAGAACTACGCACAACTTCAAATCTATTTTTCAGGATCAAAACACTGATGAACCGCTCTACGTCTTGAGATGCTGTCCATCCGCTGTGCAGGTTTAAATCAGGGTAGTAGAGCATTATGGAAGTAATCACAGCTCCAGCCCTGGTCACATGGCAATTCTAGAGTCTGTTGGGCCCCTAGGCAAAAATCTATTGGGGGGCCTTTGGTTGAGCGTTCATCAACATCATTTCTGCCAGTTTCCCCGGCGCTTACTCCTCTTCCTCTTTTTTCCTGTTTATTTGTTCTCGCTCCCTACTGACGGATTATTCCTCTTCATCTTTCTTTGTTGACTTTCATTGACACACTTTAGTTTTCACAGCAATAATGCTGCAACACCTAGAAGGGCAACAAGAGAGATTGCTTTCAGACGGGGCCCCCTTAGGGAGGTCTCCTACAGTTGTTACAAAATTTGCACATTTTGGTCCCCTGCTTTCCTTTAAGTTTGATAGCCCTCAGGGGCCCCCTACTGGTCCTGGGCCCTAAGCAGTTTCCTGCCTTGCCTGTTGACAGGCAGCGCCTCCTCCTGGCCAGCAGCGGGGCTGTGTTTAATCTTCGACATTTGACAGACATTGCAGGCCTGAATTGATAAAAATATGAAATAATTAGATAAACTGATGAGTCATCCTTTTGCTGACCAGCCAGGCTGACGTTTCATTTTTTAATGTTGGCAGATGATTGCATACATCCCAAGCTGTAAACTGCTGAAATTGAAGTCTTGCACCAATTTCCCTTTCTTTCACTTCTAATTGATCCGGTTTGGTAAACACTTCATCAGCGTAGAGTGATTAAAAGTCTAACGCTGGGCAGTCACCTCGGGTCAGCACGAAAAAGAATATGTTGTTTTTTAAGGGGACAAAGTGTTCAACTGAACTGACTATATTCCATTAAAATCAGAACATCTGAATGAAACCACTTCATGTGTAATTATCTGCAGCTCTGTGTTTAGAATCGGTTTATGGTGGGAAGTCCACAGGAGCGCCATCAAAGAGCGCTTTAATCGCCAGGAGGTTAAAAAACGACAGGAGAAACCTTTTCAGATCTCGTCTTTTTAGAGCAACATGAATGTCAGCCTGCTGCTTCCACCAAGCTGCGCACACTTCACCTTCTCCATTAGCAACAGCGGAGATGAAGCCGTAACAAGCTGCAGCTGCACCGCATCCAACATAACCAACGCTACCTAATTAGCAACATGCTGCAAAAAAAATCAATAATTATGTGGAAGTGTGTCAATACCCTGCTGTATAATCATGTGCCTGCTCGTGCACAATGCCCTACAGGAGATGTATAACTTAGAAAAAGAAGGGTGTATTCTTTAAAATAAACACATGAAGGCCAGCCCTGAGGTGTTTAAATGTGAGGAGGTCAGAGGTCAGAGCTACGTTCAGCCTATCAGGTTTAGCCAGGCAGGTATCATTAGGCCTCCCCGAGCGGATACTTCACTCTCACAGCAGAGACGCTCGCATTATTCAACAGCGCACGCCACCTCTGCATTTTGCATATGTCCAATTTGGAGGATGTGATTGGCCAATTTTTGTGGGGATGAATGTCTGTCCAAACGTCCTTCACAGAGGTCAAGAAGATATTGCAGGCGGCATGAATAATGCATGTGATACGTCCAACCATTGCCATATCGAGTAATGAGAATAGATTTCCTCAGGTGGATCTTGCTTATTATCATCAGGTGCTCACTGGATCTGACACCGTGGTTAGAGCAGAGACTATGACGCAGCCTCTGCATGGCGGCTCAGCAGGTAATGGACGAGGGAAGAACAGCCCATCAATCCTTTAACCAGGGAAAAAAAAAAAGTGTGTTCTTATATGTGATGGGAGAAAGTTTGAATATTTTTCCCTTTTTATTCTTCTGCTGGAATTAGGATGGAAAGAGAAAATTTATGACTCAAATAAACGTATAAATAAATCTAAATTCTCCATTTCTGTTGAATTCAAATAACTTTTTTTTTTTTTTAATCACATTTACACTTACAAAAGTGACTCAGAATCTTTTTTCAGAGTTAAAAGAAAAATAAAATATAAAAGTGAAAAATCTCATTCTGTCTTTAAATGGAAGCAATTTGTGTTTTGATCAAAACAACATCTACAGGGCTGAAGAATGTTTGCAGTTTGAGATAATAACAACAACACAATCAACGACTGCAGCAAAAGATGAGGTTTAACGATTTTTCTTTAGACAAATTGTGAAAGATAATAAACATCAAATTTGAACTCTTAGACAGAGAGCCGATAAGATATCATTTTAATCATGAAGTTAAAGGAAGAATGTGCAACATATTTTACATAAATAAATCATAAAGTTGTCCTGTGTGAATGTGTCTCTGAGTCATGACTGTCTACAATGAGGGAGAAGCTCGAGTCCCGCTGGCTGTGTTGTTGTCAGAGCCGTGTTTACATGGACGGGACGGCCGGCTCCTCCCCTTGTGTATAAAAGCTGAAGTCAACAAAACCACATGACTAACTATGGCTCCACTGCTCAGGTGACGACACTGGATCACGCTACTGAACTGAAAAGTGGGCTTGTTCCAATTTTCTCCTAGACCTCTCCACTCACCCTCTTGTTCACTGCAGGTTACAAAATAGGTTACGTTTTATTAATGCACCTGATTGGATAAACACGCGGCTAGTCTCTGGAGAATAGAGCTCTGGTCTAAATAAATAATGATTGTATGTATACTGGTGTCTGATTACATCAAAATCATTAAGTCACCGCATTATGTTCAGATATCTTATTTTGTATCACCGTATACACTGTATCACAGGGACATGGTGTGTGTGTGTGTGTGTGTGTGTGCACAGCAGGTGTTAAAGGTGTGTTAAAAACATAATTTGCTGTGTTTTGGTCGGCTGGCTGATCGGCTCATTACAGTCCACTAAGCTCTGCGGTGCGGGCACCTTGTTTATCATTATCTGCAGAGTTCATATCTCTGCACAGGAAATGTTCGGGGGAAGTTTTTGGGGAGAATCACTGACCCTGAAAATCAAACACTTTCCGATTTCCGAACATGAAGATCTAAACGGTGTTTAAAAAGGCCTCTGAACACAAACACTCTGAGACGTAGTTTGAAAAATGTGAATCACTCTGTTTCTTTTCATTTAACGCTGAGTAAGTAAGACCGCAGGGGATCAAAGCTCAGCAGAGCAGGGCGGTCCGGGCTTTCCCCCCCTTTTATGTAATTATGCTAATTAATAATAAGAATCACCACCTCCATACATTACCCACAATTCCTCTGGGTATATCTGATCTGGGCTAAAGCGCAGCTACAAGAAGCCTGAGAGATGTATTTTTGAACCTCTTGGTTTCAGAGTGCGCCCCGTCCGAACACACTACACTAACATGGTTTCAGCTCTCGCATCGAAACAAGTTATGAAACAACAAGAGGGGGAACAACTGACAGCTGGAAGTTGATAAATGTTTGGAGGAGAGCAGATAAGACTGAGAAAAAAGAACAAAAGCAAACAGCAGTGTGACCCCGGATGCAGAGAGCTAACAGCGTGGCGTTTCCTTGAAGCCGGCTAACGATCCCGCCCGCTCCTCCAGAGGAGAGCTAATGATCACCACCGGAGGCTGTTTTTCTGGGAAATGTACACACAGGTGCGTCGGCTGAGGAGCCGCGGATCACAGGCAGGCGATAAAGCTATATGCTGTATTGTTGCTGGCCTGCTTTGATCTCGGCTTGAACGCTCTGCCTCCTCTCCGCAGACTGTTGTCGGGGATTATTTTAGCTCCTTAAATCCTGTGTGTTTAATAAAATCGCCTTATTTGGCACGTTAGACGGTGGTGCTTCAGATCTCTGGTGTGACGTGGGCAGAGCTTCCTGTGATGCTGGGCTTTGTGGTGATTCGGCACAAACGCGTGGACTTGTTTTGCTCCACAGGAGGAGGCAGGTTGAACCATCGCGTTCTTTTTGTTTGATTAATCACAGGAGAAACTGATCACAATCTGACATCATATATAAACATTCAAACAAGTGTACACAACAATTTTTAAAATTCTGCAGCCCACGTTAGGAAGGCTTTCGGTTTTTATCATTTTAACCAACTTTGTGAATCACCACCCACGAACGTTTTAGACACGCCATCACAGGCGGCCTGACGTGGGCAACAGAAAAAATGAAATCCGGTAGTTGCATCGGCCTGGGGGTAAAACGTGACGC